TGTCCTTGAACTTAAGAGCAAAAGCTGGGGAGGCATGGCAGCTCACTGTAACCACATCACTCGGAAATGGGGTCACAAGGGCAAGCTCACTAACTAGTCTAGCCAAAGTAGCAAGTTCAGTTCAGGGAGAGATTTTGCCTCAGTAATTTAAGTGCAGAGTGATAGGAGAAGATAGAACATCAGCCTCTGTAAGCACACACACACATACACACATTCAGACCCATATGTACTCACACATTCAAAAACACAAAATGCCAATGGAGAGATACAAATTTGTAATCCAAATGCTAGGGAAGTGGAGGCAGAAGGGTCCCCGGAGTTTGCTGGTCAGCCAATGAGCTCCAGGCCAATGAGAAACATTCCTGAAGATGACACCCAAGTTCACCTCTGGTCTCCATGAGTGCACACACACAATCAGGCACATGAATGCCCACACACGTGCATAAAAAATAAAATCAAAAACAAAAACCCAGGTTCAATTGGGTTTGCTGCTGCTGTTATTGCTGAATACGTATCCCTGGCTCCAGGGACTGGACTCAGGCACTAACCCACTGAGACTAAGAGGTAAAGAATGAGCCGGGCGGTGGTGGCGCACGCCTTTAATCCCAGCACTCGGGAGGCAGAGCCAGGCGGATCTCTGTGAGTTCGAGGCCAGCCTGGGCTACCAAGTGAGCTCCAGGAAAGGCGCAAAGCTACGCAGAGAAACCCTGTCTCGAAAAACCAAAAAAAAAAAAAAAAAAAAAAAAAAAAAAAAGAGGTAAAGAATGGCTCTAAAAGCAGTGGACACTGCCTCTAGAACGATGGAGAGTGAGTATCAAAGAAGGGAAACATGCAGGTGACTCAATGCCACTCCATGAATTTCTGTTTTTCAACCAAACCAACCCTGATGAAACTCAGACTCTCCTTGAGAGTAGCACCCCTCAAGGCACTGTCTCCTGTGCCAAAGTTCTGAGGGATGGTTGTGTGTGTGTGTGTGTGTGTGTGTGTGTTGTGTATGTACGTGTGTGTGTGAGAGCACTTACCAATGCTTGTGTCTGTGGAGACCAGAGGTGGACTCTGGATATCTTCCACTACTGTGCCAGGCTTTTATGTGGGCTCTGGGTATCCAGACTCAGATGTGATGCTTGCATGGCATGGACTTTGCCATTGAGCCATCTTCCTGGACCTTCTTTAATACCTTCTGAATCAGACATATCAGAAGGGCCTGATTTTGATTAAGCCCAGTACACAACCCTTCATAGTATCATTTGAGTTTTCCGTGTCCCAATCCATGGAATTACTGTGGGAAAGGTCATTCTGGGGTCCCACAAGAAGTAGCAGGGAAAAGGAAAGCTGGTCACACAGGTCCCTACTCTCCCCATCAAGGACATCACCGGAGGTGTCTGTGAGGCTCCCAGTGACTCCTCTCAACCACTACCTATTCAGAGGTGTGCTCCTGGTGACCATGCTGGTGCAGTGTGGCCTTGGGATCATTGTTCTGGTATGGCTTGTGGCCTGTGCCTTCACAGTTGATTTGAACAGGGACAGAGGAAGAGTCTTCTCTGTGGGCCTGGAATGTGTGAACTGGGGTTGTGGGCGGCACTGAGAAGAGCAGCAAGCTGCTTCCCCACCCTTTGGCACACTGTGTCCACAGAAAGAGTAACCCGAAGGTGAAAGTACCGTGGGAACCTAAAGGCAATCTGGTCTGAGCTTTGTGTGTGTGGGTAGGGACCCTGAGTGCCCAAAGCAGCTCTGGTGAGAGCAAGAAAGAGGTTCAGAGAAATCCAGAAGAAGCAAGGCCCACCCCTGGGAGAAAGCAGAGGAAGTGTCCTAACAACCACTCTGATGTACACTTGGGGATCTAATGCCATGGCACTCAGTGACCATTGCCTTTGGCCCTTGTGTTCAAGAAAAGCAGAACTTCCCCTAGTTGACCCAATAATGGTCTTGTTAATGCCATCAACAAGTAACGATTTTCTGTGCCATGGCATCCCACTGCGCTTTTCAAGGCAAATCCGCCTCCACAGCCTCATTTGGTTCTTCTCCATCTATGTTGGAAGGTGATGGATTATTCTAAGAGCTGCCACACTCACAGCTCCTACTAGACAGAAACTGCCTGTCTGGCCCTTCTGACCCACGGTATGCTGTGATGTAAAGATAGCCACCACAGGAGCAGCACCTCTTGAGAGCCGGGTCCCACAGGGGTAATGGCGACCAACTGAGCAGACACATCTTTTCTCAGAGTTTGAGAATGAAACCTCAGAGAGAACAGAGGCTCTGTTTCTGCAAGGGCAGTAGCCAAGAGACATGAAGGGAAGCCAGTACAAGGAAGTCAAGAGTAAGGGAGATGGATCTGGGGGTATAGATCAGTGGGTAGAAGAAAACATTGGGACCCTGGACTTTATAAAGATGTGAGAGAGCTGAGCACAGCATCCATCAGTCTTGACTGACTGCAGGTGTGATGTGAGCAGCTGCTTCGAGCTCCTGCCACTGTGGCCCCCACCGTGAGCACTGCACCTTGAACTGTGAGCTAAAATAAACCCACTCTTCCTTAAGTTGTTTTTATCACAGCAGCAAGAAAAGTAAGACCAGTCAAACTAAAACAAGGCACGGCCCCTACCATCCTTCCTCCCCCTTCTTCCCATGCTCCCATGTTTCCTTTCTTCCTTCATCCTCTCTTTCTCTTCCTCCCTTCTTTTGTTTCCTCAAGCAAACTTGACTCTAAGTCATCACTCGGTGAAGAACCAGACTGATGTCACTGTCACTTTTCTGAATTCCTGAGGGATCCAATCTGACAGACTCTGTTTGAGTCCCTTAATTACCTTTGGTCCAATCAGCTATCACCAAGGGACCAGAACTATCTATACACTATTAATATGACCACTGGATTAGGTCTGATTCTGGGCTCCATAAAGGCCGAGACAAATGTCAATTGGATTAACTGTACCTACTGTCATACTATATCCATCATCTACCATCAGTCCATCACTCATCCAGTGACCATCTAGTCATCCACCATCTCTGTATCTACCATCTGTCCATCCATCATCTATTCATTCACCCATCCATCATCCACTATCTTTCCATTTACTCTCTCTCTCTGTCTCTCTCTCTTTGGTTTTTTGAGTCAGGGTTTCTCTGTGTAGCTTTGGTGCCTACCCTGGATCTAGCTCTGTAGACCAGGCTGGCCTCGAACTCACATAGATCCACCTGGCTCTGCCTCCCGAGTGCTGGGATTAAAGGTATGTACCACCACCACCTGGCTTACCATCTCTTATATATATGTATACATATACATATACACACATACATATCCATTATATACATACACACACACACGTATGTGTGTGTATATATATATATATATATATATATATATATATATATATATATATCCCATACTTGGATGGCTGAACTAAGATAGACAATATCAAATTTTAACAAGTTGTGGAGGAATTGAGACCTTCCTACATGGCTGGGGAGATGTAGGATGAAACAATTACTTTTGAAAACTGGCAGTTCCTCAAAAGTTAGACATATTTTCCCTATGATCCATCAATTCTACTCATGAAGTGTGGAAATGTGTCCACACAAAAACTTGTATGTTCATAGAAGCATTTTTTGTAATAATCAAAAGTAGAAAGAACTTAATTGTTGGTCGCTGATATACAAAATGTGGTATGTTTATACAAAGGAATATTATTTGACTGAAAAACAGAGCAAAGTGCTGGTGTATACTACAGTATGGACAGACCTTAAAAACGTTATACTCACCAGGTGGTGGGGGTACACACCTTTTGTTTGTTTGTTTGTTTGTTTTTTGTTTTTTCAAGACAGAGTTTCTCTGTGTGGCTTTGGAGCCTGTCCTGGAACTCACTCTGTAGACCATGCTGGCCTTAAACTCACAGAGATCCGCCTGCCTCAGCCTCCTGAGTGCTGGGGTTAAAGGCATGCACCACCACCACCACCTGCCTGGTGAGTATGATTAAACCAGACATGTAGGTACACACCTGTAATCCAGAGTACCTAATCCCAGAACCTGTGCTTAGGAGTTGGGAGCAGGAAGATCAAAAGTTCACGGTCATCTTCAGCTACATAGTGCATTCAAGGCCATCCCAGCCTACAAAAGATACTGCTCACGTTGAACTCCTCACAATGGCCAGCAGGTAGGCTGAGCACTGTCCACACTTCACATTGGCCATTTTGTGGGGCAGACCTAGTCAGGTAAGTCACCGGGGACCTGAGCTTGAATCCTCTCATTGCAGAGGCAGGATGGGTGGGAGAGCCAGCCACCTTGATGGTAGGAGCATGGGGACCAAACATGCTTCTGTTTGTTAACTGAGTGAGCTCTGTTGAATTTAGGGGCAAAGCCACTCCAGGAGGGGAGTCCCCTGGAATAGAGTGAAGTGTCCTGAAGGAGAGGACATTAGAAGTGTCTCTCTCTGTGTTATTCAAGAGCCTGGGCACCTCTGTATATGGAATCTTCTGGGCCCCCTGGGCAAAAACGTTTAAGTAGTTTCTGGACAATGGAATGAAGAGTTTGAAGGAGAAGCAAGGAAGTGACCATGTGATGGGGGCTGTCCTGTGGAAGTGACCGTGTGAT